AACGTATTTGAAATTCCTAAAGAAATAATAAATAATTTGACAAAAAAAGATACATATCAAAATATACATTACATCCAATATGATAAACACAATTTAAAAAAATAAATATTTCAGCTCATTTAATTGTAAATTTGGCAAAAATCATTAATCATTATATGAGTACAAATAACTCACGATACTTTATTTATATATCTGTGCAAATGTACAGGTCGAATACTAGTATTGTAATATTGATGAACATTCAATTATATTAAATTTAAGTTGAATTTTGAGTTAAATAGTGTAAAAAATAAATTTATCTGATCAATTAAAATCAGTTATATTTTGTAGTTAATCACACCCTTAAATCTTAATTAACTTAATCCAATTGAAAATGTGCAAAATTCTTTGTAACGAAAAATTGCTTAGTTCTCTTAGCATTAAATCTACATGATATTAGAATAGAGTAATTACATTAGAGTAATGATTTCGGTCCTATTACGTTGGCCTTCGGGATCGGAGTAATGATTAAGAGGGACAGTCGGGGGCATTCGTATTTCATAGTCAGAGGTGAAATTCTTGGATTTATGAAAGACGCACAACTGCGAAAGCATTTGCCAAGGATGTTTTCATTAATCAAGAATAGAGTAATTACATTAATATTACATGATATTAGAGTAGAGTAATTATATGAATATCATCTCTTATGCGTAATGAGAGCATCTCTAATAAAAGATTTTGAACATGTTTGAGAATACGAACCTGTAAGAATCTATAAGACTTGTTATTAGAAACAAGAGGTTTAGGGCTTTTATTTTCAAACTACTTTCTTTGCACAACAATTGGACCCGTGGGTGTTTTAGAACCTTTTGCCGAGGTCTGTTATTGGGGAAACTAACTGGGACCGTACCTTTGGAGTTGTGGTGTGGAAACTTTGGAAGTGGAGGAATGAACGAACTTCTCTTTCAGGGTACGACTAAGGATTAGGGGTGTTCACGGTCGGGTTTTAACTGAAAAAACCATCAATCCGGACCGCGGATCGGTTAAATGGTCGGTTAAAAAAGTCTTAAAAACTCTGGTGGTTTATTTTTTTAAAAATACGAAATAACCGGTCCGGTCTGGTGGTTAATTTTTTTTAAAAAATTCACGGCAAACAGCCGGTTTAACTGAACCCGATCGGTAAATATTAAAAGACTATAACAAATATATATATATATATATATATATATATATATATATACACATTCAGTCATTCACGATGATCGACAAATATATACATTCAATTTCACTTTTTGGCATTTTGTTGCCTTAATTTTGTAAGACACTATAACTTTTCACTTTTTCTCACCTTGCTTGGATTCAGTTTGCATAATTTAATCTTCATCATTTTTATATTTTATGTTTATGGGACGAAATGTGTATTTTTATGCTTATGAGACGAATTGTGTATTTTTTATTTCGTTATTGTTGTTTTTCTTAATTTTTATGCCAAATAATCTCTTTTGGGCTCAAAATTGAAAAATAAAAATTAAGCCCAAAATAAAAAAAAAAAAAAAAAATTGAAGGCCCAAAACATGAATTTTGGATCTAACCGGCTAACCGCCAAACTGGATCGTCCAATGCGGTCCGAATTGCAGCCGATTAAAAAAAAAAACTGGTCCGATTATGGACAAGAAAAAAATTAACCGTTAGGTCCGGTTTGGTCATGGTTTGTGCTAAAACCGGACCAATCTGGACCGTGAACACCCCTACTAGGGATATAGAGAGCGGTCGAAATATCCGCATATATTGATGGGCTGAATAGCGTTCTTACGTGTGACAAAAAGCTTGGGGGGGCGGGACACATGAGGGTGCCGTGTTGGATTAAGTAGGAGCGACCTATGTCGGGTTGGGTCAAGGTCAACTCTGATGACTCTTTCAATGGGACGTGGGGCTTGGGGTGCGTTGGTGGCCTGATCCGTGACGAGCTAGGTCGCTGGCTTGGTGGTTTTACTATGAAAATTAGGTTTTGCTCGATAATGAGGGCTAAGTTATGGGGTTTTTTTCAGGGTCTTCGCTTGGCATTGGATTTGGGGTATCGGTATGTGGAGACGGAAGTCGACAGTGCGAGTGTTGTTGTGTTTTCTGCATCCTTAGAGGAGGTGCCGGGGGTACACACCAGTCTTATTTTGGGCATTAAAGAACTTTTGGGCCGCCCTTGGCAGATAAAAGCGTTGATCCGCCCCATGGGGTACGACCGTGGTTGTCCCATAATATTAGTGGAGTTTTGTATTCCAGGAACGTCTGTAGCTCAGTCGCAGAGCCGGCTCCTTGGGGAGGCAAGCTAGGCCCATGCCTAGGGCCTCTATTTTTTGAGAAATTTTTAGTCCTCATATAAGATATACAAATATTTTCAAATTTACCTTCATATGAAAGTATTTTCAATTATACCTAATGAAGCTAATTTATTTATGAGATTCATCAATAGCAGTTACCATATATATTCAACTTCCATCCCCCTTTTTGTGGACTTGATTAAGAGAGAGAAAAGAAAAATAATAACTGATTCATTTATTAATTCCTTAATTCACGCAACTTGTACATTGCAATTCAAGCAGCCGCCAGGTAGTATATTTTGAGTTTATGTCAGTATATATTCAGTGTATGTTAGTATATATTCAGTGTATATATTCAGTTACCTGACATACACCAAAAATATACTTCAAATATACTAAAAATGTGTAACAAGTGCAGAAAGTCAGTGACAAAGTGTATAACATAGAAAGAGAAAAGATACTTCGGATAGAGAGAAAAGTTAGCTCGGATATACCCACTAGATAACCAGAGAAAAGTTACTTCGCATATACTCGGATATACCCAACATATAACCTAAGAAGAAAATGAATTATTAAACAGATAACCAGAGAAAAGTTACTTCGGATATACTCGGATATACCCAACTCAGAAATCGATCGAAATCTAAAAAATTAACAAAATTTTCAATTGAAACCCTCTATAGTCTCCTCTAATATCCACCAATAGGCAGTAGAGTTGAGTCACAAGTATAAAGCAGCCTGACTCAACCAAATATCAATCCCAAAGTTCATCATCCACAAAAAA